GGGCTTAGGGTTTAGGGTCAGGCAGCCTCGGAAGAAGGATCGCACTAGACCTCACTGTGTAAGTGTCTATTCCCTGCAAGGCAGGCAGCCTTCATTGCGCCTATGCTTACCTCTGATTAGCTCATAGCATGAAATGAAGAAATTCAAAGGAACATGGAACCTATTATTATGTCTTTTCAATCTGAGATAGCAATTAATACAAGGATCCATTCTTTCATTCCTTGCTAATGAGAGCTAGGGATTCCCAAAAAGAAGTCTCTTGATTTCAGCTAAAATCTCTAAGCCCTCTGTATCTTACCCTTACTTACCCCTATGTGTCCCCTGTAGGCCCTATAACTCCCCTTGCAGGGACTATTAATTGGTTTCAGCATCCCCCAGGCGACGCCAGTGTCAAGAGATACAGCGACGAACTGAGTGCAAGCATCTGGATCTGACCAGCTCGAGGCAGAGATCGGGGTATATAGAAGTGTATATATAATTATATTGGATTATATAGGGTTAGATTGGGACATGTAGGGTTATATAGGGTACATAGGATTATAGAGGGTTATATAGGTTATATAGGTTTATACAGGAGTATACAATTATTTATATAGCAGTATATACGAATATATAGGGTTATATAGGATTAGAGAGGGTTATATGGGGTTGCATAGGGTCATATCGGGATATGTGTTTGCTCATGGTAGGGTTGGAAGGGGAAGGGGTTATGACGGACCTGCATTCTTATAGCGAGTGAATGATGGTCCTCATGTCGGCGAAGTCTATGAAGGGGTCTAGCCATTTGCAGAAGGTTTTTATGCCATCTCCAAGCATGACAGGTCAATCCGAGACTTTGTCAAGGAGTCCACAAGCCAGGGTACGCAGCAGTGGGTCCTGGTCAACAATGCGGGTGTGATGGGTGATCCTGAGTATGACCCTGAGAAGCATACTGGAGATGAGCTCTTAGATGCGCAGATGCGCACCAATCATTACGGACACTTCCTGTTGGCTACTTTGCTGCTGCCCAGTATGGACCCATCCTCCATCCTCGTGGTTGTTGCAAGCAGGGCGCACCGACAGGGGTCTCTGGCCATTCAAACTGGGGATCCTGAGGCACTCTTGAGAAGCGAGGAAATACAGGGTTCGCCTCCATACGCTCGGCTGTTCCATTCCGTTGGGCTAGGCTGGTATGCTCGCTATGCTAGATCGAAGCTCTGCAATGTACTCTTTGCAGCCGAGTTGCGGAGGAAGTATCCTGAGGGTCCAACCAGCATTGCAGTGTCTCCCGGGTTGGTCAACACGGGCATCTTCGCATCTGTGCCACAGCCTCTTGGAAAGGCTTTGTGTTGGTGTGCCGAGAGGTTGTTTCAGACGCCGCAGGAGGGCGCAAGCCACATCCTTCGTGCAATCGCAGCTGCGCAGGCAGCACAAACAGGGGAGGCCAAAGCAGACCTACCCCTCTACTGGCACTGTGGTGAGCCCCAGGAGCCTTCGGCCGCGGCCCTCCATGAAGGCCTTGCCGCAGCGCTGTGGCGTGCAAGTGAACGGGCGGTGTCAAAAGCCAACGAGGCGTAACAACCCCATAAACTTACTGGTTCTCAGTAGGGAATAAGGGAATGTAGTCCTTATATCATCCCTGTATACAGTAGTATATTCCCTTCTTCTCTACTTTGAACCGTAGTTAAGACGTTGGCATGCAGGCTGAGAGTCATGAGGTTGATCCATCACGAATCACGAAGACCGACCAAGCCACAGGCGGTGCAGTCGACTGGAGAGCAAAATTTGTTGCCAAGAGGTCACGCCCTGCGTTTACACAGAGAAGTCTTCGCTTCATCATGATGCACCCCGCCGCTGCTGCGCGAAAAGGATTGTTCCCTGCTTGTTGCTGAATGTCGAAGCCATTGAAGGGGCTGCGTGCTAAGTTGCAGGCAACTGCTCTCCACAGTGATCCGGGCTCAAAAGCCTCGAACGCTTCACTACCAGCCGGTGCCTCAAAAACAGTCTTAGTTGAACGTTGTCGCAAAGCAAAATGGGCTTTGAATATTCTTTGGATTGTGCTTTCTGACACGGCATGCGCATCCCCGTAAGATAGACACTCTAATGCAACTTGTTTCAGAGCTCTTGCAAGGAAGGGCTATCAAGTCTACTTTAAGTGTTGAAAGAAGAGGGGAACCGCTACGCTCGACTATTCGAATTCGACACAAGAGTTGTGCCCTAAAACGAAACTTCTTACAGTGCAATCTCTTCAATACCAGGGACCTAGCTTGTAGCCCCTATCAAAAGTTTGCTTTCCCCATCTTGAAGCGCTGGTGAGGATATCGATGGATCTTGGGTTTGTTGGGTTCCATGTTTTACGTAGATTGCCTTCTGTGCTTCGGGTTGAGGTGCGGAAAGGTTGAGTTGATCTCGTGGTTGAAGAGTCTGCATATCCAAAGCAAACTTTGCAAACCCTACACAGCTAAGCCCCCAAACCCTAAACCCTTCAAACAAAGGCCCAAAGCCCAAACTCTAAACCCTCAAAAAAACACAAACCTTAAACCCTAAACAAAACACACGCCCTACACCCTAAACCCTTTAAAAACACAAGCCCTAAGCCCTAAACCTTTAAAACAAACAAGCCCTAAACTTGAAGCGCTAAACTCGGAGCTTTTGAGGCTGCTACCCAAGGGTCTCGTGCTCTCCTTGCCAAAAGTAGGGAGGACCCCCACCAACATGTGGGGGTTTCCTAAAATTAGGTGTTCCTTTTTGGGGTTCCCATAAGTTACTAAGGACTAAAGTACTTTTGGAATTTATATTGGGGTCCGCTTATTTAGGGAAACTGCCATGTTGACCCATCATGAGTTCAAATTAGCATTGTAAGGACGTCACGGCTTGAATCCTGCTCTCTCTCTCTCTCTCTCTTTACTTGCTTCGTATTTGCTGTTGATGTAGACCTTGCATTGCCAGTCCAGGTCTCCTTCACCACCTCAAAACGGGGCTCCTAGATTCTGGAGGCGGAGGTCGCGATTCAGGAGTAGAAGATCTTGTATTCTTGCCCTGACTGGACTCTAAAGCTCGTTGAGCTCCAGAGCCCCCAAGCCTAAGCAGTGCGCCCTAGAAGCGGCACCCTGAACCCTAGAGCTTGCACTCTAAACCCTAAACCTTGAATCTAATAGGTGACGACGTCCCCACCCGTCGTTATGCCTCCGGAGACCATTCTCAGAAGTTTGGCGCAGGAGTCCGGCTTTTGAGGTTTGGGAATGCACAGGTTCAGGGATTCAGGGGTTGAGGCTTGACTGTTCGAAGGGCAACCTTAGGGGAAGTCCAGGGTTTAGGGTCTGACTCAGGGTCATTGACGGTGTTCATGGCGCAAGGATGTCATCCCGTTGCCCACACAGCATGGCAATTTTGGGAGTGATATTGGTGTATATCATATGCGAAGAAGCATCAATGATCAGGAGAGTGGCATTGTTGCTGTGCTACGGCATGAGCAAGAGTAAGTCTAAGGCGAATGATCGTCATTGTACGGATCAAAGGTATTGACAGTTGCGATACAGCAGTCACCGTCGTTGGTGGTGGTACTATAATATACTATCACAAAATAAACTATCCTATCATATACTGTAGTATGCTATAAGAATTTATAGTATATTGTATGTTTCTGTAGCGGGGGGGCGGGGTGGTGGTGGTGGTGGTGGTGGTGGTGGTGGTGGTGGTGGTGGTGGTGGTGGTGGTGGTGGTGGTGGTGGGCGAGGTGATGGTTGAGGTAATTTTCTGGGTGATGACGACGAGGGTCCCGCATTCATCGCCAGGAAACGGCGTTTGCATTCTCTTGGGGCACATGACTCAGGGGGCTCAAAAGATGGGATGAAGGTAAGTGGGTTAAAGGATCCTTAGTATATACTCTACTACCTTGGGGCTTATTTCCTATACCCCACCTTCCTTCATCCCACCTTTTGAGCCCTTTGAATGACGGGTACGGGCAAGTCTTTTAAAGTTAGAGTCAGCTAGAGTTCATGGAGCCTTGCTACGAGCGTGCAGGAGATCAGGGAAGAGCTGAAGGAAACAGAGTGTCCCGGATTTCCAGAACACACATTGGGATTCCTTTGCCATGGTGCTTTATTTCAGTCACCTGGGATTTGAATTTTCAACTTCTTGTCATTTTCATGGCTAGGATTTGTAGTTGCGAGGCTTGTGCAAACTTTTTAGCGTTTCTATCCGACAGCTTGTAACCGGCTGTGATCCCCCTCACTCAGGTCCTCTGGGAGGGCATCAACTGAATGTGACGGATTGATAGCTCGGTACACGGGCTATAAAGGGATGGTAGGAATTATGGGGGATTTAGGGCTGAGCATTTGGGGCTTCGGGCGGAAGTTTGGAGGGCATTCCTTCCTGAGGGCATGGCTACTCCTTGAGATGGCATGCAGTCTTCTTTAGGGTTCAGGGTTTAGGTTTTAGGGTTTAGGGTATGCTTTTCACTGTAGAAGCTTGAAGAATCACCATCGCTGTTCCCTTGCAACTGTATACTATAGAATTATGATATACTATGACCCCAAAAGCTACTCCAGGTACAGAGGCCCCTAAGTCCTAAGCCCTAAACCCTGAACCCTAAATAGTATGATAGTTCCATTTCCTTTTTCATTACTACTAGGTCCCCCTAACCCAAATCCCTAAATACCTAAGCCCTTAATAGTAGTTTTCATTTTCTTTTCCATTATCCCTAGATTACCCCTATACAACCCAACCCGCCCTATATGCATCCTAAACTCTTAACCCTGAGGCCTAAACAGCGTGGCCCCCAAAGTTTGCAGACGTGCCCAGGCACCAGGGTGTTGTCGCGCTGATCGCCGGCATCCAAGTGATGTTGCGAAGCAATTAGGTGCCAGAGGGCTGAAATGTGGGGGATGTATAGGGGTATTCAGGGTTGTGGGGATGTGGCGCCAAGACTGGAGAATTGTATGGAAAACAATATGAAAACGAAATGGACGCTGGGTGTATATTTGGGTGTGATAGGTAGGGATGATTGCCAACATTATGGTTATAGATTCCCTAAATCCTAAACCCATCCTATAGGCTGCTTCAAATGGACCTCGACATGATGTTGGCAATGATGTAGGTCCCTGTGCTGGTTCAGTGCCAGGCTCAGAGTTCAGAGTTTAGGGTTTACTAGCTAAGGGGGTATTGAGTGTAGGGTACAGTGTCATGACGATCTAAGGGGCCATCATAGCTTTACATGCTCATGCCTTCCATGCTACCTCTGCCATGGGATTGGATCACATCGTGCACTTCATGGACATTCACCTTGGGGGTCTCAAAATGTAGAGTCTCTTTGTTAAGGGTTCCGTTTCTTGGGGGAGGTAAAACCAAGGCCCATGTTGACAAATACCTGGTGAACATACTTTCTCTCTGTAAGTTTCTATAGGAACCGCAAAGCATGCTAGCTTCCAACAATGACTCTATGAACTCTGTGCAGTACGAGGCCGGACAGAAGTCCTGTTCGGTTTGTGTCTGTCTTTGCTGAAACAAGAAATTTGCATCCTGGTAACATGTCTTGGGTCCCAGCCGCTCCAGCTTCGAAAGGCCCCCTGGGCCCTAAAGCCTAAACCCTACGCCCTAAACCCTAAACCCGAAACCCGAAACCCTAAACCAACCACAACACTGAAGGACGCATCGCGAGCAGTTAGCCCCAAACTTACCTCGGGTTAGCAGGGACCAAGTAGGAATGGAAAAGAAAATGGAGATTATCATCTTATTGGGGTTTAGGGTTTAGGGTTTAGGGGTTATATGGGAACTGCTACAAGGATCCATTCCTGCATTCTCCTTGATAATATCCAAAGATAAGAAAACCTCCCAGGCATTCTGTTTTGGTGCCGTTCTTGTCTTCAACGGAGACTTTTCCTTCAAGGGGATCATCGCCTGTCAGAGGCTAAGCTTCTGAGTGTAGCTTTGGGATGTATGGGGATAGTGGGAGTATATTGTGCAAAGGGATATACACGGACATAAGTATATACACAGTATGCTTGAGCGAGAGTTAGGGATTGGATCCCTCAAATCATCCCCATTCGTTTTCCTGAACTAGTACCCATATTTATGCCCCCCCCCCCCTCCCTCTCCCCCTGAATCGCCAATGAGTCAAGGCTTCCAGTGAGTTAAGGCATGTCAAGCTCAGGGTACCCCATTTGGGAATATAGTTGTTCATTCTTGTTAAATGCAACTTTAATAAGGGATACACAGTTCTCTCCTCAAGGAATCAGCAAAGTAGGCGTTGTAGAGCGGCACTCCTTCCCGTACCGTTTTTGATGAAACAACAGCAGCAACAAAACAAATACTACTACTACTACTACTACTACTGCTGCTATTGAAACTGCTGCTACTGCTGCTGCTGCTACTACTACTACTACTGCTGCTACTACTACTACTACTACTACTAGGCACATTTTACATAATTGACGACTCGTTTTTCTAGACATAATCTTCTTGTC